AGATTCACGTTCGCTAATTGGTCTACTTCTCATCAGTCTTGTAAAATACTACTATCATTATTATTTACAAAGGGACGGGTGCCTTTTGGGAGCTTCCAGATTCGTGTTTGCTCTAACTATTCTACTTCTATAATTATGCTAGATATTCTGCTTATTCACAAAGGGACGGGCGCCTTTGTTGTTCTAGGTGCAAACACAAGAGGTGCGTGCCTTTTACGTCTTCCCATTATTCTTGTCATTCCCAAGGGGAGCGGTGCTTGCGAGGAATTCCAGATTCTTGCTTTTTCCAATTCTTTATTCTCCAAATTGGGAAAAATTGAGATTCATTGTTTCTCTAACTATTCTACGTACAATATGTTCTGTTCTTGGGCGTGCCCAAATTATTCCAATTATTCCCAACGGGACGGGTCCCTTTTGAGGAATTCCAGATTCATTTTCTAGTCTAGCAAATCTACTCATTAACTTATTATAATCATTCTCCCCAAAGGGACGGGTGCCTTTAGGGAATCTCCAGATTCATGTTTGTTCTAATCTTTCTAGTTATTCTAAATATTCTGTTGTTTCTTATTATTCCCAAGGGGGGGGGGGCGTGCCTTTGGGGAATTGAAGATTCATGTTTTGCATATTCGCCTACTTATCATCGCCATGATTTCTCCTTATTCCAAGAGAGGCGGGCGCCTTTTGAGAAATTCCAGGTTCATAGCATTTTTCTCTTGATTCTACTTCTGATATTGTTCTCATGATTATTCTCATTCCCAAAAAAACGGGAATTCCAGGCTCTTGTTTTTGCAACTGGTCATTCCCAAATTTGGGGGAAATTCTGATTCATGGTCGCTCTCTTATTCAACTTCAGGTGTTTTGGAACTACCCGCATTTTCCAAGTATCGCCAACGGGGCGGGTCCCTTTTGAGGAGTTCCAGATTCATTGACTGCTACACTATTCTACTTCTTATGATCAGTCTTCTCGAAGGGACAGGTGCCTTCTGGGAATCTCCAGGTTCATGTGTGTTCGATTATTCTAGTTGTTCTAACTGCCCTAATTTTCTAATGACTCCCACAGGGACGGGTGCCCTTGGGAAATTGAAAATTCATGCTTGGGAAATGTTGTCTACTCATCGTAGCTATTATAATTATTCTTCTTATTCCGAGAGGGACAGGTGCCTTTTGTTGAGCTCCAGAATCATGTTTTGTGTTTAAATGTCTTTAATGATTCTACTTCTGATAACTGCTCTATTTTTTATTGCCATTCCCAAAGGGACAGGTGCCTGAGGGGAATTCCAGATAATTGCTTTTCCAATTCTTTATTCCCCAAATTGGGGAACTTTCAGATTCATTGTTTCTCTAACTATTCTACGTACAATATGTTCTGTTCTTGGGCGTTCCCAAATTATTTCAATTATTCCCAACGGGACAGGTCCCTTTTGAGGAATTCCAGATTTAATCTACTCATTAACTTATTATAATCATTCTTTCCAAAGGGACGGGTGCTTTAGGGAATCTCCAGATTCACGTTTGTTCTAATCTTTCTAGTTAGTTCGGTTGTTTCTTATTATTCCCAAGGGGGCGCGTGCCTTTGGGGAATTGAAGATTCATGTTTTGCATATTCGCCTACTTATCATCGCCATGATTTCTCCTTATTCCAAGAGAGGCATTGCTTTTTTTTCTATTGATTCTGCTTCTTGTTCTGACCATTCTCATTCCCAAAGGGAAGGGAATTCCAGGCTCTTGTTTTTGCAACTTGTCATTCCCAAATTTGGGGAAATTCGGATTACTACCCGCGTTTTCCAAGTATTGCCAACGGGGTGGGTCCCTTTTGAGGAATTCCAGATTCATTCTGCTACACTATTCTTCTTCTTATGATCAGTCTTCTCAAAGGAACAAGCCTTTGTCGGAATCTCCAGGTTCATGTGTGTTCGATTATTCTAGTTGTTCTAACTGCCCTAATTTTCTAATGACTCCCACAGGGACGGGTGCCCTTGGGAAATTGAAAATTCATGCTTGGGAAATGGTGTCTACTCATCGTAGCTATTATAATTATTCTTCTTATTCCGAGAGGGACAGGTGCCTTTTGTTGAGCTCCAGAATCATGTTTTGTGTTTAAATGTCTTTTTCCCAAAGGGACAGGTGCCTGTGGGGAATTCCAGATAATTGTTTTTCAATTTCTTCATTCCTCAAATTGGGGAATTTCAGACTCATAGTATCTCTAATCCTTCTACTTCAGATATTTTCTGTTTTTGGAAGTACCCGGATTATTTCAATTCTGCCCAACGGGACGGGTCCCTTTTGAGGAATTCCAGATTCATTTTCTAGCCTAGCGCTACTTATCAACTTAAATAATCATTCTTCCCACAGGGACGTCGTTCCCAAAGGGACGGGTGCCTTTGTGGAGTTGAAGATTAATGTTTTGCAAATTAGCCTACTTATCATAGCTATTTTGCTTCTACTTATTCCAAGAGGGGCGGGTGCCGTTTGGGGAATTCCAGGTTCATAGCTTTGCACCTTCTGATAATTGCTCTATGTATCATTCTCATTCCCAAAGGGTAGGGTGCTTTTGGGGAGGTCCACCCTTTCAGGAATTCCAGATCTACTATCTAATCCAATTATTCTCATGTTTCATAATCATGCTAAGTATTCTAATTATTCTCAAAGGGACGGGTGTTTTCTGGGGAGTTAAAGATCAATCGCTTGGTGCTTATTCTATTTCTCAAAGTTGGTCTAATTAGCCTAATTACACGAATCTTTGAGAATCGTGCCAATATTTGGAAAACGGCACCTTATTTTGTCTAACTATTATTAACCAACATGATTTGAACAACTAGTCTACTTAGAATATGTCTTATAAAAGCAACATGCTTTCTACTCGAATATGTTCAAAGGGACGGGCCCCGTTTCGAGAACTCCAGATTCATTTGTGTCCAACGTCCTAAATAGTTAGAACAAATGAACATGTTTAGGTAACTAAGAATTTAGATATTTCCAATTTAAACAATTTGAAGGGCACTTCCTAGGCTACTTCCGAAAATGAAATCGTCCTAATGAAAAAGTTCAAATAATTCCAAAATGCGAACTGCTTATTTTGATCAAATTGTTGGAGGTTCTGAACAACATATCTGTTCAAATAATCCAAGTTATGTCCAGGGCCCTTCCTGGGCCCATTATAGAATATTTAAAGAATCTGGGTGTCTCGAATTCAAACAAGTCGAAATTATGGAATGTACAAATGTGTTTCTTAGCGCATTATTTGTTGGAGGCTCGGAACAAAAACGTTTAAGTCGGTTAGATAGTTCTATGAATTTGACTATGAGGCCTCCAAAAATTTAACAAAGTGTTAAAAAAAAAAAAAATGTCCTGGGTTCTCACTGGGCCAGTTCCAGGATATTTAAAAAAATGAAAACATCAAAAACAATTAAACAATTCAAATAATGTAAGTATTTATATGTTTTTTTTATAAAAAAAAAAAAAAAAAAAAAAAAAAAAAATGGATGCCTCCAACAATTTAAAGAACTAAAAAAATATATAAATAGTTTCCTGGGTTCTCCCTGGGCCAGTTCCAGGATATTTAAAAAAAAAATGTAAAAAAGAAAATGAAAAAAATATCAAATATTTATATTGTTTTTTTTTTAAGGCCTCCAATTTAAAAAAAAAAAAAAGGGTTCTCCCTGGGCCAGTTCCAGGATATTTAAAAAAAAAATAAAAATAAAATCAAATAATTTAAATAACTCAAATGATTTAAATATTTAAATGTTTGATTTTTTTAAAATTTCTGGAGGCCTCACAAAATTTCAAAAATTGAAAAAAAACAATTAGTTTAAATAATTCAAATAATTTAAATATTTATATGTTTTATTGTTTTTAAATTTCTGGAGGCCTCCAAAAATTTAAAAAAAAAATATAAATAGTTTCCTGGGTTCTCCCTGGGCCAGTTCCAGGATATTTAAAGATTAAAAAAAAAGAAACAACAAATAATGTAAATAATTCAAATAATTTAAATATCTATAGTTGTTGTTTTTCTTAAAAAAAAAAAAAAAAAAAAAAAATCTGGAGGCCTCCAAAAATGTAAAAAAAAATAAAAAATAAAAATAAAATCCAGGGTTCTCCCTGGGCCAGTTCCAGGATATTTCAAAAAATTAAAAACAAAAATCAAATAATGTAAATAATTCAAATAACTTATATATTTATATTTTATAATTTGTTTAAACTTCTGGAGGCCTCCAAAAAATTTTAAAAAAAAAATAATAAAAAAAAATAAAAAAGTTTCCAGGGTTCTCCCTGGGCCAGTTCCAGGATATTTAAAAAAATTAAAAAATTAAAATAATTTAAATAATTCAAATAATTTAAATATATACATATATTTTTTAAATTCTTGAAATTTTTGGAGGCCTCCAGAAACTGAAAAAAAAATCAAAAAAAATATAAATATTTAAATTAGTTGTTTTTTTTAAAATTAAATTGAATTTTTTGAGGTCCCCAGCAACTTGAAAAAAAAAGAATTATTTGATGTTTGTTAAATTACTTGATTTTTTTTCAAAAATCCTGAAACTGGCCAGGGAGAACCCTGGAAACTATTTATATTCTTGATATTTTTTTTTTATTTTTGGAGGCCTCCACAAATTTAAAAAAAATAAACAAAAAAATATAAATAGTTAAATTAATTGAATTATTTAAATTATTCTAAATTTTGATTTTTTTAAATATCCTGGAACTGGCCCAGGGAGAACCCAGGAAACTATTTATACTCTTTTAAGTTCTTTAAATTTTTGGAGGCATCCAGAAATTTAAAATAAAAATAAATAAATAAAAAATATAAATATTTAAATTATTTGTTTTTTTTGAAATTAATTGACTTTTTTATTGTTTTCAAATTGTTGGAGGCCTCCTGAAGTTAAAACAAAAAATATTTAAACTAATTGAATTATTTACATTATTTGACTTTTTATATATATTTTTAATATCCTGGAACTGGCCCAGGGAGAACCCTGGAAACTATTTATATGTTTTTATGTTTTTATTTGTTTAAATTTTTGGAGGCCTCCAGAAGTTTAAAAAGTAAAAAAAAAAATATAAATTAATTGAATTATTTAAATTAATTGAATTTTGTATTTTTTGAAATATCCTGGAACTGGCCCAGGGAGAACCCTGGAAACTATTTATATGCGTTTTAAGTTCTTTAAATTTTTGGAGGCCTCCAGAAATTTCAAATTTTTTAAAAACAATATAAATATTCAAATTATTTGATTTATTTTCAAATTATTTGTTTTTCTTTTTTATTTTATTTTCTTATTTTTTTTAATATCCTGGAACTGGCCCAGGGAGAACCCAGGAAACTATTTATATGGTTTTTTTATTCTTTTCTTATTTTTTGGAGGCCTCCCGAAATTTAAAAAATATAAAACAATAAATATTTAAATTATTTGAGTTTTTAAGTATTTGACTTTTTCTTGTTTTTTAATATCCTGGAAATGGCCCAATAAAACCCATAAAACTATTTACATTTTTTTTGTAAATTTTTGGAGGCCTCCAGAAACTTTAAAAAAATAAACAATAAAATAAAAAATGATGTTAAAAACAATGAATTTATTTATTTATTGTTTAATATCCTGGAACTGGCCCAGGGAGAACCCGGGAAACTATTATTCAGGGCCTTGGGCGACACATAGGCCCAATTCTTCCCTCTTACCCCCCCCCCCCCCCACACACACACACAATCCTAATAGGGCAAGCTTTTTTTTGTGCCCAATAAGGCCTATTGGGGTACAGGGAGATTCCAGTGTTGCGGTGCCTTGACAACCATAGGAACAGAACGGCAAAGCACTCCAAGCCCTCAAAACAAGGGGGTGACTTGTGACCCCCCTGCCCCAAATTCAACCCATCAAAACGGTGAAGCAAGCGACCCCCCGAAGCCCCGAGTTCAACCCATGGAGACTTCTCCATCCGAAGCGCCCCATGGTGCTGAGGATGATCAGCAGCTGGGAGGCTAGCTGCAGCCAGGCCAAGTCATGGGACCCCAGCTGCAGCTTCCGCAGGTGCAACGGCCACAGCACCAAAACCGCCTCACGGCGCGAGATGGACGTCTGGAGAAGATCCTCGCAAAGAAATAGAAAAAACACAAAACCAACAAAACCAAACAAGCTACTAAACAAATGAACACACACACAAACAGAAACGCAACACCAACACAAGCACGAGGGAAAAAAAAAAAAAGAAACAAAACCAAGCACAAGCAAGCATCAAACACGCACGTACACAAGCACACAATCGCAAGGACAAACAAAACGCACACACACACACAAGCACTAAAAAACAAACGCAGACAAGCAAGCAAGCAAGCAACCAAGCAACCAAGCAAGCAACCAAGCGAGCCAGCGAGCCAGCGAGCGAGCAAACAATCGAACAAACGAATGAACGAACGCCCGCTCGATTTGCTAATGCGCGAAGAAAACCGGGATGGACCACGCAAACAAACAAACAAACAAACAAACAAACAAACAAACAAACAAGCAAGCAAGGCAAAGCAAAGCAAAGAAAGCAAGCAAAGCAAAGCAAAGCAAAGCAAAGCACAGCAGAGCAAAGCAGAGCAGAGCAGAGCAATCAAAAAGCAAAGCAGAGCAGAGCAGAGCAGAGCAGAGCAAAGCAAAGCAAAGCAAAGCAACCAAGCAATTGAACAAACAAGCAAACGCAAAACAACGCCGAACAAGAAACAAACACGAAACGAAACAACGCAAACATCTCCAAAAGCAAAGCAAACCAAACAAACATTCACACTTCCGCGCGCAGAATTTCATTGGGCAAGAGGGGCGCAATGCATTTCTCATTCAGTCGCGGATGTGCTTGGTTTTAATGAAGCTGCCAATGGTCCAAAGGTTTAAGCGTCCTAGGGAGTCCTTTCTACAACACCCAAGGAAAGTCGCTTGGGACCCTGAACAGACGTTTGGCCAACCAGATGCATGGACGAAACTAAGACACGATCTTGCGACTCCTGCTCCTCCTTACTTTCCCTCTCTTGTTTTTTCCCTGCATGAGCCTGGGTTCAGAATGGTAAGTTCGGGCCGTGAATTTGTAGGCGAGTTGGAAGGTTTATAGAAGATGTGCCTCAGCAAAAATGAGAGGGGAGCACTTGAAGCCCCCAGGGCGCCACCCCAACGCCCCCGCCCCCCTCCGAAACCGCGCCGTCTCCCCGAAAGACTGCACGACGCTGGAGGCCAGCAACAGCAGAAGCTGCGAGAGGCTCACCTGAAGTTGGGAGGGCCTTCAAGGAATTGGCAACAAACATCACACGTCAAAACGCTCCATATTTGCCGTCAGGCCATCAAAACCTGCAGATAAGAAGTCAAGCAGGTTTGGTTCCCTTACCATGGTTATGAGCTACAAGTAACATGTGCGAACGCTGGGTATTGCTCCAGTGGCTGCAACATCTGTTGAAACAGCCAGCTAATGACCAAGAAATTCGACAGAAAAACATTGGTTTTGGTATTTGGCACGTTTCCTGCTGAAATTCCTGTATCGGGATTCTTCAAAGTCAGCCAACTAATCCCAGCCCCACTTAACTTACCATGCTTATAACTCAAGTGGGTGCTGAATTTCGCCGGAAAAAGCCGCCAGACCAACAGAAAGAACTTGTTTCCTCGCGGCTGCATCGCAGCTTTGGGACATGACGCGCTCTCTCGCTGCGACGTTGCAGTCTTTTGAAAGGCTGCGTGGCTATGTTGCCTTGCCATTGTGATTTGCGCTTCTGGGGAAGGGGGGGTCGTTTTGAGGTATCTTCCGTGGCCCCCGCTGGTAAGCGGTTGATTGAGCGTCGTTTTTGTTGGCCTGCCGCACAATCGCGAAACGTGTGCCAAAATATGTTGAAAATAATTCTGGCGCCACAGTCCTGTGTCAATCTTGGCTAGGGCGCTGAACGTGTGACAGCTGGAATTCGTGGCAGGCACAGCACCTTGTGCGCTTTTTGCTTCGTCGGAAGCTGACTTTGAGCAACAAACGCAGCGCTTTGGCACTGAGCGCTGATCTCGTGGCAGGCGCAGTACTTTGGAGGGTCGCGCGCTGAAGTTCATCGCATTACTTGAGGGGTTTGACCTTGAATTTCACGGTAGGCGCAGCCCTGGGAAGCATTGGAAGCACATTTTGTGGCAGGACGGTCTTTGGGGACGTCTTCCGGGATGCCGATGGGTATGGGTGGGAGTTTGCGGATGTCTTTGGGCTTGCTCTTTGCGGGCGAGGGTTGTTTAAAAGTGCTTTCAGATATGTCTTCTGGGGATGGCGCCGGGGAGGTGTTTTTCTCAGCTAGCTGAAAGCTATAAGGGGCTCTCTGTTCAATGAGTTCGACCGCAAATGGGTTCCGAAATCAGATTTGGACAGCACATGATTCTCCTTCGCAAGCCATAGGAACCCCTTTATCGGCGTGCGTGTTTTATTTGAGGCTATCCATGTTTGTCCAGTTGGTTTCAGGGTCCAACGAGAAATTACGATCCTGGTCCACATCCCTAGTTGAACACACACACACACACACACACACACTCGCGCGCGCGCGCACAAACACGTGGGTGTCTCTGTTTAGGGAAATCTGTGCGTTTGTGGTTTTAAGTTTTAAGGCACAATCACAAAGGAGAAAGAAAAAACAACTGCTGGAAGGCCCCGGTATTTGGGAAGCAAACTCGTCTGGAGCGCTTGGGGCGTGTTTCATGGTTTCTCTCTTGGCGCCTTGTGCTCCGAGGCCTTGCAGTCTGACGGGTTCTCCTCCACGCGAGAAAGCGAGACCATGACGAATTGGCTCGGTGTGGGGAACCGCGGGGAATGGGGAAACCGGAAGGAGAACTCCGGGTGTTAGGCATCCCCTCCTCCCTAACTGGCAGGGAGGCTTCACTGAAACGCCATGGGCTATGCGGCTGGCCACAGGTCTCTTCGGCACCTTCTTTTGAGCCTTTAAAGAAAGTTTAAAGGGAGCCGGTGCTCCAAGACCAACGGGCCGCTGCTTGGGGACACCCATGGCACGGTTCGTCGGGTTCCTGCGCCCAGGTGGCCGGGCGAAAGCGGAAGACCAGATACACAAAGGCCACCACGCAGAAGAGGCTGCACTCGCTCATGTGCACCCGGTACCGCAGAAGCTTGTCGCTCATACCTTCAACCCGTCAAGAACACCCCAAGACTTGGGGTACAGCGCGGTTTTTTTTGCCCGGGAGCTGAAGGAAAACCCAAAAGGTTTTTTGAGGAGAAGGACACCCACGAGAAGTTCAACTTAGGGCGCGAGAAAACGGGATCTGGGACCCTCATTCGGCCGGAGATGAGTCAATTCAGAATGCGCCCCCTATGGGGGGAAGCCTCAGTACTACCAAGGGAAAACGTACGGAATGGGTGGCAAACGCTATTTTGCGGTGTTCCTTACAAGAAAAGACACACCCACATAGAGAGCCCTCAGGGATCCAAAACAGCTGTTCGGCTATCGAAAAGTCACCGCCGGCAATGAGCAGGGAGTCCACGGCCGGATACAGCGATGTACCCAGCAGCCGCAACACGGCCACCTGCACCTGGCTCGACGGCGTGCTTTTGTTCTTAAAACTTTGCCTCGGTATCCACGGAAACTGGCCCCATTATTTCGCCATTGTCAAAGTCACTCCCCAAGTGGTAGGTTAAAGGGCAGCAACCCCAATTTCTGACTTTGATAGCCCCTAAAAACAGGCAAAATAATGGCCCCACGGAAAACGAAAAGGGAGTTCACCGTACCAACTGACCAATTGGGGCTGAAGCCTATCTAGATTCCTTACCACATGTTAGGCGTAGATGTGCGTTCTTGCCTGACTCCAAGCTCTAACTGTTACCCGTACCGATGCTGATTGGCCCGCCGGCGCGCAATGACAGAAACCAAGACCAAGAGTCCCTATTCGCAGATTTGTCTCAAAGGGAACCCAAGAACACCCTTGAAACGAACCTTTCAAACGGGGTCCATCTCCAAAAGGGGGCCCACGGAAGTATGATTTGTATCTGTGGGATTTTACGTGTCTGAAGGGATCTTTGTGGACAACCAAACAAACACTGTTGGCTGTGAAGTCTCATCAGGGACATCGGGATAGCCCTCAAAAATGTGATAGTGGACTGGACATAAATCCCCGTGGCATATGTAACCCGCCACTTGTTGAAGAGCCACCGGTTTGCTTGATTTTGCAAAATTGTTACAAACCCCCCTTCCGCCTCCAATATCCAATTCCCTCACCCACCCACCCAACCCAACCCACCCACCCCACCCCACCCACCCACTACCACCACTTCACATGTTTCACTAGCAACAATTCGATGATCACGCCACCCACCCCACCCCACCCCACCCGCCCCTGCCTGAAACCCCGTCACCACCACATGGCGCTGCTCGCGCGGCGTGGCCAGAGCCACGTAGGCGCCCACCACGTTCCAGAAGTTCACCGCGCCCAGCGCCAGCACGAGGCTGGCCACGTAGAGCCCTCCGTCGGTCGCGTGGGGGTGCTGGAAAAAATGAGGGGGGACCCCTGTGGAAGAATCCCAGAATCCCAGAAAGTCATATCTTGAAGACTACAAGACTACACGTAGGTTAAATGGACACCCAACCACTGAAACCTCAATCCCCCCCAAAGGGGGGAACACCCTCTGTGAGAAGTTTGCCACTTGCATGAGGATTCTGACTGGCCATCAACCCCAAGCCAATGGTTCTATGTTAAGAAGCGCCCTGAAGGGGAGGTAGTTTCAGGACCAAATCCCAGCGAGCCCAGCTCCATTGGCTCTAGGTGGAACTTCATTTCACCTTTGGGGCGAGACCTCCTAGCTCCATAAGGGAAACTGCTCGCCAGCTTATGAAAGCGTTCCCCTCTCAGACTGAGACTTCAGGCTCAACGACATTTTTCCGATCAGACCCGCTTTGATGGGATTTGTTTGGGGGGGAGGGGGGAGAGGGGTGGCCGTGTCTAAGAGAACTGGAGACCCGCCCCCCACCTGGTTTGCCTCCAAATGGAACCCCCGAAATTTGTGGGGTTGAAGCCACGAAGCCTCCCCCCCCTGGCTTCTCGGAGAAACAAAGAGCGTCACACTCTCGCTGTCACACCCCGCGAGGAAATGGGGGGGCCGGGGGCAGGGGGCGGGGGGACTCGAAGTGCCCAGGAAAATTTGAGCGGCAGATCCAAGCAGAAAAGCCCCGAAAGTCTCGAAGCGAACCACTTTGAGACCTACAAGCGACCCGCCAGATTGGCAAAGGGCAACCGGTCATCCGCCATGTAAGCCATGGCTCCCCGAACATCTGGGGCGAAACCGTGGACCAGGCAGCCAAAGGTGCAGCAGAAAGCGGAGAGCACCTCAGCGACTAGCGACTCAACTCCGACTCGACCTATTGAAATTATTCGACTCGATCCCTCTGTTGCACTAAAACAACTTTGTTGGGGAAGGACCAGAAGTGAAACATGTTGGAGTTGTGCTGGCACTTGGGAAACGCAGCGATGGTTTCGCTCTGGTTGGATCATGTTTGAGATGCTGCAGAAGAACTGCCACCCTTTCGAGGCGCATCCATGGACTCGCCTCAGGGTACCTGCACAAGCTGCCATCCCCAAACTTGCAGCACGGCTGTCGTTGTCAGAGTCGCGCAAGTGAAGGTCAGGGACAGCCACAGCCATAGGTGCCGCAAGAGGCCTTCTTGATTTACCATGAAAGTGCCCAAAGCCCCTTTCCAAGAGGAAAGTAGTCTTACAGAGGTCTCTGCGCAAACCGATGCTAGCACGGTGGGAGGGTACATGACTTTGGGACCATCTCAAAAACTTTCCGGGTGCATTGGCCGAAAGTCACTTTCTGTGCAAAGGGAGCGCCGCAGGCAAGTATGCAGAGTGCCTGTCCAGCAGCCAGCCATAGAAGGGCGAGACCAGCAAAACACCTGACAAGAATCCACAGCCAAGCGCACGGCAGGTCGTCCAAACTTCCATTTGCTTAAGCCCTCTGAAAAAAAAAGAAAACCCCAAAAAAACATGTTTCCAGAAGTGATAGATTCCCTTTAAAACAAACAGGGGATAACTAAAAAAACTAGGCAAACGGAAGTAATGTCAACGTCTTTATGGACTGACTTTCCCTGCGCTGATTCACAACCACTTTTTATTCATCGGGGTCGCCGGGGGCTCCGCACCCTGAGGACTCATCAGACCCAGCCTTCCCAAACCCAAAGCCCATTGTAAAGAAATCCCTTAACACCGTCCAGTTTAAAGGATCCGCACAGCGATTATTCTCTCAAACGAATCAACCCATCGAGGTGAAGCTCGCCACATACTCTCCCACATGCACATCCCATCCAGGCAAATATCTTTGGATCTAAAAGCAAGACGGATGTCGGCGAAGTCAAGTACAGGGGTATGATAGCTTAATCGGGGACCCTTTTAGTGGACACTGTTTGCGTGGCAAATGTTTGTCCACAAAGCACACGGCGGGTTCCCAAATTAGAAGCTCACAGTGGCGCGTTTCTTTGTGTCCCGCCTGCTGTCCTGATGACCCCGAAATTCCCGATCTCTGCCTGGGTGCCAGGTGGATCTGCATCGGCAGATCTCCAAGTGAGTGTTACGTGGTTGCTTTCTGCTCCCCTGCTAAAAGTGAATAACTTTTAGTGGTTTAATTCGGAAAACCCATTAGTTGGCAAAAAGTTATTCAGTCCTAACATCCCTTGGCAAAATGCACCAAAGATCAGAAATGCAACCGAGGAAAGGAAGATTCCTACTGAACTGTGCGGACTTTGGATCGATGTTTACACCGAGCCGGGTTGAATGCTTATTGCCTCAGCATGCACTCAAAGAACTTCGACTCAGCATGACTCATGAACGAGCCCATGAACCAGCATTCTGGCGGGCCAGTGCTCCGTGGCTGTGGCTTGTTCCCCTCAACTTGGTCCGTCTACCGAAGGGTCATGTACAGAACTGTGAGCCGAAGCCATGAAAGATGGCTAGGTTCCACGGTGACGGGCTCCTCCCCCACTCAACATCATGAGCCCTAAAAGGTCATGTTCAAACTGGGGTCATTCGAGCGAAATCATCAAAGTTCTCATCTGAAGGGTTTAATGGGTTAGTTTGATGCTTCTCCAAAAAGAGGAGCGCAAGGCCCCTTTTCAGGCCCCATGTTTAGTGCTCCAACTGCTTCTTCATGGGGCGGGTGCCCAAACAAACGATCCTCTAAATCAGGATCGCCAAAGGTGTGCTCCAAAAAAGACGGGCACCGATGTATCCTTCAAAAGACTCTGAGGGAATGTGTCCACAAAACCAAGGAAGAACTTACAAGGACCTCAGGGCTTTTCAGTCGTACCTCCAACACCGTGAGCTCGAAACCTAGCCAGGCGTCCTTAAAGGACACACCTAAAAACCGCCTACATGCAGAAACTCTTTGGAACAGCTGGTAAAGAAATGTGTGTTCAACACTGGGAAAACTTCAAGGATCCAGCCAAAAACCACCTGCTGTACCGGCATTCGGATCCCCGAACTCAGCCAGTACTGGGTGATCCTTTGACTGCACAATTACATGTCCTCTTTCATTCCCCCCCCCCCACAAAAAAAAAAAAACGACCTCCCCATTCCTTCAGGTTTTTTCTTCACGGCTTTTTCCGGCATCTCTCGACTCGGCGCGGCTGCATCCCGCGTCAAAGGCGCGGTGCTGGCGCCCACCTCCACCTGGAAGTAGGTGGTGACCGGCGCGTGCAGCGCTCCCCCGAAGGAGGCCACCCAGATCCCCAGCCTCGCGCGACGTCGCGACGTGGCCGGCCGGCCGGGAAGCGCGGGGAAGCCGGCACAAAGCCGCACCAAGCCATTGCGGTAGGGGGGGGGGAGCTCCAACCCATGTGTTGTTTTTCTTCTTTGGGGGATGAAATTGGCTTGATTCTTGGAGGTGTCCAAGTCTACTCTTTTCCTGCGGAAGTTCAAAGGTTTCGGAGGGGGGAAAAATGGCTATGAAAAAATATGAGAGGGGAGGCACCCCCAAAGAGAAGCTCAAAACCCTGCACTTTGACTACTGGAGGGTTGGGGGGGGTTCTCCCATGCGAATGAATGGAACCAAATTCTGGCACCCTGCCTCCAACGCCGCTTTCTGGGTCCCATGAATCCTGTGACCTGTGCTTCATTTGGCCATGGTTCAAAATCCCGTGCCCCCAGTGAACATCCCAATCCCCACTAAATAGGTTCTAAAATGGGTGGTGCACCTACCCTTAAATGGCACCATTGGTTTTGACCCACAGCCATTTGGACCTCTCGGCAACCAAAGGAGGTGGGCAGCCGCAGGCTTCCAAACAAACCTAAACCCTTGGCTGGAATTAGGACCCCAGCAAGAAGAGATATACTTGTTTGCCTGGCTAGTGGAAAACAAAGGGAACCCCAAAGAGGCAAAAACGAAAAGGGACTAAGTCTGGGGAAGAACCCTTCTGTCAGCTCCAAACCTGTAGCTTCATACAATCAAACCAAACACACCCATCAAACCCATCAGACCAATCTTGCCATCGAACCAGCTTGCGCAAGAAACGGCCTCTACAAGCAACCTCTCAGACCCATCAGACCCCTCAGACCCCTCAAACCCCTCAGACCCTCAGACCCCTCACACCCCTCAGACCCCTCAGACCCCTCAGACCCCTCACATCCCTCAGAGCCCTCAAACCCAGACGCCTCAGACCGCCTCAGACCCCTCACCCCCACCCCAGACCCTTCACACCCCTCACCCCTGACCCCTCACCTCACACCCCTCAGACCCCCAAACCCCTCACACCCCTCAGACGCCTCACACCCCTCAAACCCTCAGACTCACACCCTGACCAAGCCGCATGGGTACGAAGAGCTCCGGGCGCCGCAGCATGCTGCTCAGCAGGCACCGCTGCTCCATCACCGCGTGCGTCAGCTGCTCCATGACGCGGGGTTTGGCGGCCGTTTCAAAGGAAGCGGCGAGGGTTTCTCGTTTTTCTTCCTGGGTTCCCTGCATGTGAGTCATAATCAAGAACCGGTAGTAGACTATGGGAGTAAACGATGTAGCCACCTGCATGAGTCGTAATCAAAACCCGGTATCAAAATGGTCGACCCAGAACCATGCTTCAAGAATTAAGAAGGCGGATATCCGCAGCTATTTATGGCTGGGATTGTCCCTTACAAACCTTCATCTACCCGGGCTTTGCTTGTGGCTCATGTGAGTCTACCTTCTGTTTTGAGGTTCCCTTTTTGGAACCTGAAAGGGAAACCAAAGGAAGAAACATAAATACTGGGGGGGGGGGAAGGGGCCGGTCTGAATACCAGAGAACCCTTGGATGGCTCAACACGCATAGGTATTACCAGGACTCCCTCCATGTCCCAACTCAGGTAAACTCACCAGGAATGGGTCGTGGCCTTTTATCCACACATTTTTCCGGGAAGGGTGAAAGTGCATTGCGGGTAGGGAGCTCTGAAAAATGGGGCCCGGCTCCCTTCCGAAGGGAAAATCACTTTACAGGTAACGTACCGCATGTTCCCTACAAACCAGCCCCAACAGTTTTGCAGTGGGGCATTACTCGCCGCTTGACCGCAAGCGCTGGGCACTTTGGCCACAAAGCTGGATCAGCTGCAGCTCTGGCTGCGGAAGCTGCCGGCGACTCTGTCCGCTGCCGGACCCTTGCTTAAACATGTTCAAGCACAGGTTGTTTGAGCAATCTCCTTGCGGTTCACCTCCTCCGTTGGTTGTACCCCTGCACTGGTTACTATAAGACTCCTTTTGGACCCTTTGTGGAGGCCAAGCAAGGCCCCGGGCTCGTGCCACTGCAGGATCTTTCAGCATCTGTGCCTGGACATCTTTGGTGGCATGCACAAACCTCGGCCGGAAAGTGGTTCGTCGCAGAGACTCGACGACTCGGTCTGGGCCTTTGTATGTATGTGTGCTATGCTATGTTATGTTATGGAATGTTGTGTTATGTTTTGACTACATGTGTGCGCATGCAGGCATGCAGGCATGCAGGCATGCAGGCATACATGCGTGAATGTGTGTGAATGTGTGTGAATGTGTGTGAATGTGTGTGTGTGTGTGTGTGTGTGTGTGTGTGTGTGTGTGTGTGTGTGTGTGTGTGTGTGTGTGTGTGTGTGTGTGTGTGTGTGTGTGTGTGTGTGTGTGTGTGTGTGTGTGTGTGTGTGTGTGTGTTTGACTCT